ACATCGCGCAGTTGTATGCCACAGTGGAGGACTGGAAGAAAGCTGAGGAGCACCTGACACTGGCCATAAGCATGAAGAGCGAACCCCAGCACAACAAGATAGACAAGGCAATGGAAGCCATCCTGGTAAGGAGGAGCAGGTCCTACAGCTGCTGTGTTTGCTCATAGCAGCCCCACAGGGAGGAGGGAGAAAAATCCCAGTGACAGAGAAACCACCTTTTAGCTACAGCTTTAGCAGAGCAGGAGAAAAGCACAGCGGGCTGAGCAAAACACAGGCGTGTACTGAGACACGAGTTGGTGGGAAGAGCTTTGGGTCACTGGGGCGGCAGGGACGGGAAGACCGGGTTAAACGGACTATGTCAGGGCTGGGGTCAGGCTGTCATGGTGGTGTTTTGACTTTCTGGAACACATCCTTAACCCCAGAGGCAGAAGGAAGGGGACGTTAAGCAGTCCCTGCTCTCAGCTCTGAAGAGTGCTATGACTTCTCTGTGCTACAGAAGCAGAAGCTCTGTGAGCTGGTGGCCGTTCCCGCAGGGAAGCTGTTTAGACCAAATGAAAAGCAAGTGGCTCAGCTGGAGAAGAAGGACTACCTGGGAAAGGCTATGGTAAGAAGAAATACCTTATTTGTCTGGGCCAAGCCTGTGGGCTGAGGAGACCTGCTGACCACCCTCTCACCAGCCCTCTAGGCTGCTATTTGCTGCCTGGCGAACAGCCAGAGATATGGAGCCATTTTGGGCCTCAGGGATCTCCCCAGGTGTGGAGGGAGGGATGGCATATAGGGGTCTCTTGGGGAGCAGGAAGCCTGCAGGAATAGAGGAGCTAAAAGCATGCTTCTGCAGAGCATGACCTATTTTCAGTTTCTCTCCTTAGCAAGACATGAGGGACAGTCAGTCAGCAACAAGCTGGTAAGCTCCCACTGGAACTCAACTTGAACCAAGATTTTGTTCAGGGAGGGAAAAAAATTAAAAAAAAAAAAAAGCTATTTAAAATCTGACACCTACAAACGACCTCCAGTTCTCCCCCTCCTCCATTTGAAGGGGGCTTTTCAGCTCAGATAAGCAAGCAAGCTTTCCTCCCATGAGTTTGCAAAATCCAAGCACTGGGATATCACCCTTGGGCTCAGGTCCTGGGAGGCAGTGCTCCGCTGGAAAGTGACCCATCGGCTGTGCAGGCACTGGGGAATTGGATGACTGAGAGCCAAGCAGCTCCTCAGGTGTCAGGGGATCCCCAGAACATTTATGAACTTTCTAAATGATGTTTAAAGTTGCCTATAAGAGGTAAGGGCTTGAGTTGGACTCCTTGACTCCCTTCAATATTTGTCATTAAAATATAAAGGGAAACTTTTAGGTTATAATGACTCTAACTGTAGTACTGGTGAGGCTAAGAGCTGAGACCTTGCCACAGCTGAGACTTGAGTTTTGGTGCCAGAAGCACTCAGTCTGTAGTCAAAGATGCTTAGCCTAAAATCACAGCCCCTCTTGAACCTGAAGCATCCTGAGGAACTTGGCTTGGCCAACAGCAAAAGAGGAGGCTGGACATCAGAGGTCTAAGTGAGGTCTGCGAGCACCAAGTCACTACCTGTCTGTCTTTGGCTCTAGGTGGTGGCATCTGTGGTGGATAAGGATGATTTTTCAGGATTTGCCCCACTCCAACCACAGGTAAGGCACCACCGATGGACAGTGTCCTTGGCGAAAGTTCAGGAGGACGTGGGAGTGGGTGTCATCCCACAGCATGCCAAGGGCTCTGGCTTACAGTGGGGAGCAAACAGCAGCATTGCCACCATGAACTTTCTGCTACTGATGTGGGCAGGAGGCGGACACTGCCCCCACGTATCAGCTGCTCTCTCCATCATCGGAGACCAGAGCCCAAACCCACCTACATTTGTGGTTGAGGCTAACCCAGTTCCCTGAACAGGGAAGTAGCAGCCTGGCAGCACATCCTCTGCCCCCGCCATTGCTGCAGGGTGATGGCTTTGGGCAGGGGGCAGTCTCAGACCCTCCCTGTAAGATGCATTGGGTTCATCTGTCTCAGCTGAAGCCATCAGAGAAGCAAGAGCAGTTTTGCTTTATTCTCCATCCTCCTCCCAGCTCACAAAGCCCTTTGCATTTTCATTGCCATTTTCCTGGTGACGTAGCAGCATCTTTCCATCTCTGAAGGCACCCAAGAGTTTTTACAGGAGCTTTTTGAGAGGATATGGGGAAGCGAAGCTGCTGCAGCCTGCAGCATTGCTATGAAAGATAAAGTATGCTCTTCTCAACACAGCCAAGTGTTGACACCATGCTGCAGGAGTCAGGCCTATTTCAAGTAGCTTCTTCAGAGGGTTGATAAATCCACCAGAGACCTTAAATTACCGAGGCAGAAGAGACCATAAAGCACGACAACAGCAGCTGGGAATTTTACAAACACAATAATGGGAAGATACAGGGAAGCACAACTTGCTGCTTAAACCAGCTGATCTCAAATCTATGATCTCAACCCCCTGTGAGCTGAAACCAAAATCACAAGTGAAAACAGAATTGTGCCTTTGAAAACCAACCACAGGTGGAAGAATTTGGAAACTGCTTGTTTGAAGGGAACAAAGCCAGGGATATTCCTCATGGCCCAAAAGGCAGTTCCTTCATGCGTCAGGGTGGCAGAGAGCCAAAAACCTACCACCGCTGGCTGCAAAGCAGCAAAAGACTCCCGGTAGGTTCAAACCATCTGACCTGACACCAGCACAGGGAGGAAGGAACTGTGTAGAGGTGATGGCAGGCGTGGTAGAAGGCTGCAGGACATTTCTGCAAAGCAACCAAAATCCTCCAGATTACTAATAATTTTCTTTTTGTCTTCTTGTTGGCAGGCCTCTGGTCCTCCACCCAGGCCCAAGACCCCAGAAATCCTCAGGTATGTTGGGCGAAGGCTGGACAATGCTGCTAACCTGTGCAGCAAGGTTGGCCCCATCCTGCACCATCACAGCTGAGTGTCCAGCCGGCACCTAAAACTTAGGGGGGGCAGGGAAGTGATTGTAGAAATAAGGAGACAGAGGTCTGGGTTCCCTCTACAAAATAAACCACTGATGTTGCCCACCTTCCTAACCCGGCCACTGCTCCCACACCCAGGGCCCTTGAAGGGCAGCCGCACCGCGTCCTGTATGAGTTCATCCCCGAGACTGATGAGGAGCTGCAGGTCCTGCCAGGAAATGTGGTCTTTGTCCTGAAGAAAGAGAAGGACAACTGGGCTACGGTGATGTTCAACGGAAAGGTACCAGGGGCACACTTGGCAGGAGGGGATGGACAACTGGGTGGACACTGTGAGGTTCTACAGAGGACTTGGAGAGCAAAGCCTTGCCATCAGCACTAAATGAGTTTCTGACTTAAGTCCCTTATGTCCATCCTGGCTTAGGCCACAGGGTTCAATGAAACCCACGCAACTTGCAGCAAGTAACCTTCAAGCCTCAGGGACTCTCCTGCATTCAGTGCAGGGCAAGGACAAGCTCAGCTGCATCCTCAAGCATTGAGTTGCCTCCTTGCCAAGGAATCCCCACTCGTCTCTCCTTCCCCCGCAGAAAGGGATCGTCCCCTGCAACTACCTCGAGCCCATGGAGCTCCAGAACAAGCTGCACATCCAGGTGAGGGGGCCCAGGAAGAGGTGCCTGAGGGAGGGCAGATGCCTACATGATCACCCACCACCTATTCTGGGCCTTCCAGCAGGACCCATACCTGCAACTCCTGCCCCCTTGTAACGCTGGCGTCGGTTCTTCCAGATCATGGTCACCTTAACATGAGCTCAGAGACCTGCAAAATCTGGGCAGATGCTGCGTTGATGGCCCCCTGGGTGGTGGTTGGCAATGCCAGCAAGTTGAAGGGGTAGCAAAGTCACCCCTCCCCAGTTCAAGACCCCAAACAGACCTTGGGAAAACAGTGGGTTGGGCAGGGGGGGTCCACGAGGCAGCAGCACCCCAGGTCCCTTAGGAAGGGTGGGATTGACAGCACTACCTTCCTCCCATCCCGTACAGGAAGAAATCCCTCTTGAAGCTGAGATCCCAGAGCCACCCAACTCTACCGCTCCAGAGAAGCCGCGGCGGCCAGCACCAGGTCAGTGAGGGGAGCTGAAGGGATGGGGGTGCTTTAGGGGCAAAACCCCAGCAGCAGGCTTGAGACAGTCTCCTCAGTGCCATGTCCTCATGCTTTGAGATCAGAGCTGGGGTTCACTTCCGTCTCATTCCCGGGCCCATTTGCAATCAAGGATGTAGAGGCATTGAAGCAGGAGGCAGAGATGGCAACTGCAATGCTGAGGACAGAGTAAAATAGAGCACGTGGGTCCCTGAGGAAAGCAAGTCCCTCCATGCTCTTAATTAGCACAGCAACTAATGGGAAGGGCCTGGGGATAAGAATGGGGCAATTGACCCAGCTTGTCCAAGTCTTGGAGTAGAAGGTTCCTTACAGGCTTGTCCTTAGAGCAGGGCACCCGCGGTGGTTTTAGTGCTGCTGTGAGCTGGGCTAGGTTTGAAGGAGCTGTGGTTGCCCTGGGAAGGGCTCTGGTTTTCAGTGTGGACCTGAGGAGATCAGAAGAGCAAAGACACTAAAACCAGCAGCTCATGTGTTTGGGTTTTTTGGTTTTTTTTTTTTGTTTGGTTTTTTTTTGTTTTTTAAATCCACTCAGGAAAGAGGTCACACCGCCTGAAGCTCCTGTCCCTGTAAGAGGGATGGCACAGACCCCAAACCTCTGCTTGGTGGTTTTATCTAAATCTTATGGATTAACCTCATCACAGCTGATGCTGCATCCATTCAAGGGACCACCGCTGGCTCCAGGGTTGGTTGCTGTTGCTGCAAATAACAACGGGTGTTGAGGAGAAGGGCTGCAGGAGACCTGAATGCGTATTTAGGTGCAGAGCAGCAATGCTTACCCTGTCCCACTTGCTGAGCCATCTTTCTTCTTCCACAGACTTCATTTCTGCTACTGCGACACAGCTGAGAGAAGCAGCAAAGGTAACGTATTGTGAACGCAGATCCCAAGGTCCATGTTACAAACCTGTTATTTATTGCACATTGAAAGGTGCTGGCATGCCTGGCAAGCACCACGGCCCTGGAAGTGTTTCGGGCTTTCATCATTCAGGAGCTTCTCCAAAGTGTAACAACAGGCCTAGGAGCCAGAAGGTCATCAGGACCCAACTAAGGGCTGCTTTTTGGGAAGTCTCCTGCAGGTCCGTTCCCCAGTGGACCCATGGCTGTTAGCAGAGCCCTAGTATAACTCACGTGGCACTTGAGAAGGCAGAAATAGGAGCCAGCTTGGCTGTAACACACATGCTCCTGGGCAGGGTCAGTGCATCAGGAGGTCACACTGGGGAGACAGATGAGAAAACAGCAATCTCAACCCAAAAAAAGAATTGAGGGGGTTGGGGAGTGGACACACCTCAAATTCGGTCACCCAAAAGCCACAATTTGGTTGCTAAGTGCCTAATCTATTACTGTGCTCTCTCCTGGGACAATCCCAGGACTGCCAACCAGCCAGACGCCCAACGATAGCTTGGGTGACATGACCTGCCCCGAGGGAAGTGCCAAAGGCTGCACATGCTAACAGAGGTGTCTCCCTGACCAGCAGCCAGCTGATGCCCCACAGCTCAGACTCGACTCAGGCAACTGTAGTTTCTACGTTCCGGTCCCTCTCCCAAGTTACGCAAGCTCTCACATCCAGTTTACCACCCGCAGGAGGCCGAAGCAGCCCCCTCCCGCCCCCACGTCCTCAAGGTGCATTACAAATACACGGTCGCCATGCACGTCGAGCCAGGCCTCTCCTACACAGAACTCCTGGACCTGGTTTGCAAGAAGCTGGAGCTCCAGCCTGCACACACGCAGCTGAGGTGAGGTGCTGCCCGCTGCAGGCAGCAGGAGCTGTGTTCTCAGGGCTCCCACCCTTACCCCCATGTATCCTCCATGCACCCAGGTACAAGCCTGCGGAGAGCGAAGCACTGGTGGCTCTGAGCACGGAGAACCTGGAGGCGGCTTGGAGCCAGAGCAAGGACAACTGTCTGACAGTCTGGTGCGACATCACGGAGGTCAGTGACAGCTAGCAGTGGCAGCTGCCTCTTCTGCCCGTTCCTGGCAAGAAGCAGCCTTTGCTTTCTTTGCTGCGAGTGCAGGCTTGTGGCTTTCAAAGCAAGCCAGCAACCTCTTGAAAGGCAGAGGAGCAAAGAGCAGGTGAAGCGGAGAAGCAGAGCTTGTCTCTCTCACCCTGGTACGAAGAAAAAGGAGATGCCAAAACATGTCCTTACTGGCTTATTTCCTGCCCTAGGGAGAGGGGTTTTTACCAGACAGCAAACTGGAGGAGTCACTGCAGAAGGCAACGCCGGAGGAGACGGGACCAACCCAAGTTGTAGCGCAGTACAATTATGAAGCCACCCAGCCAGAAGACCTGGAGTTTCAGGCAGGAGATGTGATACTTGTTTTATCCAAAGGTAATTGTGCTCCTTCTGCCACAGGGAAGGGGAGGGACCTCCCCACTCTGGTGAGAACATGGGCCTGACCCTGAGATGCCGAGCGCCTGCAGCAGCTGCTGCTACTCAGTTCAGTGGAAGTTGTAGGTTCCCAACATCTGCCAGTCAGGCCAAAAACTCTCAGGTATTTGGTCAGACACTGGACGCATGTTCTTCAGTGGAACCTACAGGCTTCACTAGGGACTTTGATCTCTTTCCCCAGATCCTCATGTCCTCCAAAGCAAACTGCTTCATGCTGGGGACCTGCAGAGCAACAGCCTGGCTCAGGCAGCCTTCACTGACAGCCAACTTCTCCCCCTGCAGGTTGCAGTTTGACACCTTTAGATGGAAAATACTCAACCACAGGGCACTCTAAGAAAGCTTGCATTGAATGCAAACTCTTTACAAGACAGGTTAGAAAGAAGCTTGCAGGAGGTTGCATGAGCATGAGGCAGCAGGTGGAAGCCAGGGGAAAGGACAACCTAAGGACACACATGAGAGTTGCTTTCCTTCGCATGACTTAGAGCTGTGTCACCAAGCTTCCAGTTTCCAGATTCACAGGGCAAATTTGCTCCACCCCCATGAAGGACAAAAAAACCCAACCCCAACAAAAACCAACAAACCCAACCTCCGGAGCAGTTTCCAGCCTCTGCTTTGCATGCTCCTGACTAACCACAGGGTTTTCAGCTTCCCAGCCAATTCCCTGGAGCCACAAGACAAGCAGGACCCAACATCTGCAAGGCTGCTTTCCACAAGCACCTTCTTCCACCGCCAGCTGCCTTGGGTGCTGTAGCGCAGGCAGAGCTCCTCCAGCTCCACCATGGGCTTCCCACCCGAGCCTCAGCATTATACACACTTCTTCCAACATATCTTCATCACATCCCTGCTTCTGCCACCCCCTTCCCCAAACAGTTTCAAGATGGGAGAGTTTCACTTGAGCTGTGTTTAACTTTACTGATCACAATTTGTTTTTTAAAGGAGATGCCTCATTTTGGCTGCCGCCCCCCACAACAGGAGAATGCTCTTACTCCCATTCCCCTCACCTGGCACCTTTTTCTGGCTGCTTTTATTTTTAAGGGTACAATCTTCCATTAGCCTAAATCCTCTTTAATATTAGTCCTTAGTGCTTCTATGAGAACTGAGGCTGAGACTAAATCCCAGCAAGATCTAGTAAATGTTTTTGAGCTGGATCCTTTCAAGCCTGTGCAGAACGCACAGGAGGAAGGACAAATTATGATACTTCGCTATGTGTAGCTGTATCACTAAATTTGTGCTAGCTGACAGGCTTTGGCAGCAGTACACAAGCAATCACAGTCGTCCCCCCGTCCCCATCC